CTCTACTAAAAATACAAAAATTAGCCAGGTGTGATGGCAGGTGCCTGTAATCCCAGCTACTCAGGAGGCTGATGCAGGAGAATCACTCGAACCCACGAGGCAGAGGTTGCAGTGAGCCGAGATCATGCCATTGCCCTCCAGCCTGGGCAACAAGAGCAAGAATTCATCTAAAAACATGTTTTTCATAAACCGTGACTTTTATCAGACTTCTGCACTCTTGAAGTTAACTCTGGCTCCTAGGAGGAGCCCTGTACCTCAGTAGAACACTCGTTCAGCAGCCATCTCAAGCACCTGCTGTCTGCGGGAGCTGTGGCTACGTCGGCAACTGGAGGAGGTGAGCAGGGGTGCGGGAGTTCCTGACCGCCCCAGGCCAGAATGCAAGCTCCTCCAGCAGCTGGCAAGGAGCAGATGACTCAAGACTTCAGCTCAGTCCACGGGACAGCCCTTTCTGGCCACTGCTCTCCAGCAGATGGGGTGTGTGGCAGCAAAAGGTAAAACTCCTGGCTACTTGGCAGGCTCTGGGCAGTCTAAACACCCTGTGCCTCACTTCCTCACACATTAAATGTGGACAATAAGAGGATTTATCCCAGGGTCGTCCGGGGAGAAGCGTGTCAAGCATTTGTCCGATCTCAGACTGCTATTAAGACACTACCTGACTGGGCGCGGTGGCTCACGCCCGTAATCCCAGTACTTTGGGAGGCTGAGGCGGGTGGATCACCCGAGGTCAGTTCCAGACCAGCCTGGGCAACATGGTGAAACCCTGTCTCTAGTACAAAAGTTGGCTGGGTGTGGTGGTGGGTGCCTGGAATCCCAGATACTCGGCAGGCTGAGAGAATCGCTTGAACCTGGGAGGTGGAGGCTGCAGCGAGCTGAGATCATGGCTGGGGAGCCCTCTGGAAAATTACAATCATGGCAGAAGGCGAAATCTGTGGGTCGTAGTTCCCAGGTCTGCCACGGCGTCAGGAGAGAACAGACAGAGAGAGAGAGGAAGAAGGGGAACCCGCCACCTTCCAGCCACGGGAGCTCGTGAGCACTCACTATCGTGAGAGCAGCCTGGGGGAAACTGACCCCACGATCCAATCACCTCCCTGCAGGCCCTCCCTCCACACGTGGGCATCCCGGTTGGAGGTGGACGTGGCGGGGGACACAGCCGAACCGTATCCGCAGCGTGGGCGGCACTGAAGCCCCTTCCACAAGCGCGCGTGGCTGCACCTCCCCCTCGCCAGCTCCCTGCCGAGCCCCGGACAGGCAGCCTGCGGCGCCGTCACCAGAACAGGCCCATGGCGGGGGCTTCTCGGCCGAGCGCCGTCTGGAGCAGGAGCGTGGGAGCGTGGGAGCGTGGGATCGCGCGGCACACGCGCGCGCCACCGTGGGAAACCGCGAGCGTCGAACGGCCGTGGGCTGGCGCTGCCTGCGGGCCGCGCGCGCTCGGGCAGCGTCGACGTCCTCGTGAGGCCTTTTGGGAAACGGGGGCTGCGGCCGCCGAGACGAGCAGCCTGACGCGGGGCTGAGCCCGCGGGGCTGGCGGGCCTCGTCTGGGAGTCCGCCGTGCCGTCCGCCGGCGCCGGGTGCCGGGGACTCAGGGAGGCCCGCCCGGCCTGTGCGGGGACGGGGACCGGGCAGAAGCGGGGCCGAGCGGCAGAGGAAGGAGAGGAGGCGGCCAGGGCTCCCAGGGGCCGGCGCCTGGGCGGGGGCAGCCGTCGTCCATGTTCGGGAGAGCGGTCGGCGGCGAGAAGGAAGATGCCTCAGGGGAGGAGGTCCGTGCAGCTCCGCGGGCAATGGTGGGGGCGGGGCCCAGGGAGGCGGTGGTGGAACGGAGACGCTGCTGGGGGGCGACGCCAAGGGAGGAGACGGGCAGGACCCCAGATGTCTGCCTGTGGGCGACGGAAGGGAGGGTCACCGGGCAGGGGAGCCGGGCAAGGAGCGCGCAAAGGGCCGCGTAGACCTCAAGGAGCCGAAGAGCAGGCGGACCCCCTCCGCGGGGAAACAGTTTCCGACCGGAGCACGAAGCAGCGGACCGGAAGTGGGGGCGGAAGTGCAGCGCGCTCAGCGGCGACTGCGCGCCTCAGCCCGCGAAGTCCGAACTGGCTGACAGGGGGCACGCGGTGGCGGCGCTCGACTGCAGTCGGTTGAGTTCCTGAGGGCCCCCCGGTTCTAGAAGGTTCGCCGCGAAGGCAAGTGAGCAGTGAGTTGCAGTGACCCTGCAAGTAGTTCTTTTACCTGAGCGGCTCGGGGGGGCGCGTTACGGTTTTCGAAACTACCGGTCCCGGCAGGCCCCGCGCCGCCCTCGGGGCCGCGAGCTGGTGGATTGGCTGCGCTGCATTCTGGGACCTGTAGTTTTCTGTGTGCGCTGGCGCCGCGTCGTTGGCGGAGCCCATGGCCGGGGCTGGAGGGAAGGGCCGTCTTTCAGTGTGTCCGCGTCTCGCCTGCTAGTCCCGGTTCCCAGGCCGCGCCGGACTGAGGCCCAGAGAGGTTGAGTGGCTTGCCCGGGGCGGCACGGATCGGCGTCCCGGGAGGCGCTCTCGCTGCCTCGGCTGCCCCTGCTTGCCCACCCGGGCGGGCTGGGGAGTGGCCGCCAGCCCCCAGGCGGGCGGAGGGCTGGAGAGGCGGGGCCGGCGGCGCAGACCCTCCGCCCCGACGTGGTGCCGCCGGCGGGGGCGCCGCGTGCCCGTCCAGCCCTCGGGCGTCCTGCGGCGGAGGCTGCAGCGCCGCGCGCGCCTCTGCCGGAGAAGGGCGGGGTTGCGGGGCGCGGGGTGAGGCCGGGCGCGGCCCTCGAGCGCCTCCGTCCCCGCCGGCCCCTCGTGCTGGGGCGTGCCCGGGCTGTCCTCCACCCTCTCCGCAGGAGGGACTTGTGGAAATGCCCAGGAAAGCCCGTGCCCACAAAGGCTGTCTGCAGACAGGTCTTTCTTTTTTCCAGGCTTTGCCGTAGGGATTCTGGAGGAGAGCAGCTGTGTCCCGGGGCACAGGCTCGCGTCGACCGCCAGGCGTGGCTGAGACCCCGGGACCTTCGGAGTGGTGTTTTCGCACAGACCCGAATCAGCCTGCCCCGCAGCGACGCGCTCAGCCCTCCTGAGAACAGGCTGATATGCCCAAGATAGTCCTGAATGGTGTGACCGTAGACTTCCCTTTCCAGCCCTACAAATGCCAGCAGGAGTACATGGCCAAGGTCCTGGAGTGTCTGCAGAAGGTAGAGCACAGGCTCTGAGTAAAGGACCGTGGGCGGGTCGGCGTGGGTGGGGCTTCTGCCAGGGCGGTTCCAGCCAGGCCCCTCCGTGCGAGACGCAGCCCCTGTCACAAAAAGGGCTGGTGTCGAGGTCATGCCATTACCCTCCAGCCTGGGCGGCAGAGTGAAACTGTGTCTCCAAAAAAAAAAAGGGCTGGCATTCCAGGTGGGGTGGAAGGGAAGACTGACAGGTGAAGATGATCGTCCTTGATGGTGACAGACTTGGGAGTGCCTCGGGGCCTCTCTAGGCGCGGCTGGCATCCAAGGGTCAGGAGGAAGGATTTCCGTTAGGGGCAGTGGGGGCCAGCCTCACTTTGACGGTCTTTGAGTCTGGGGGGTGCAGGGAGGTGGCAGCAGCACCGGTTGCCTTCTGGGTGCCCTCCTGTACCCGGCTCACACCCCTCCCCTCCCGGAGTTTGCTGCTCAGGTTCCCATCTGAGAGCTTGTATGTAGGACATCAGATAAGACAGCGTTAATGTTTGGATCCAGAAATGCAGAACAATTTCCTATTTTGAGACTTGATACCTAATTAGTCATCTTACTCCTTAGGCTGAAAAATAATTGTCGTGTTTTGCGTAGTGTTCTGCAAATTGTTTGCTGATGGCAGCCGAGTTGCTTCACGCCTTTTAGGGCAAGAGTGGAAAGTGTCCCGAGGACTCTTCCATGGTCCCATGGTGCCCTCGCCACCTCACAGTGCCCTCTGCATCTTCAAAGTGCTGCCCACTGCTGCTGAGGCTTCTCTCAGGGTGGCTTGTGCAGCCTCACCTCTTCCTGGCCTCCTCATAACCCTTGCTCCCAACTCCTTCAGAAGGTGAATGGCATCCTGGAGAGCCCCACAGGCACAGGGAAGACGCTGTGCCTCCTGTGCACCACCCTGGCCTGGCGAGAACACCTCCGAGACACCATCTCTGCCCGCAAGATTGCCGAGAGGATGCAAGGGGAGCTTTTCCCAGATCGGGCCTTGTCATCCTGGGGCAGTGCTGCTGCTGCTGATAGAGACCCCATAGGTGACCTAGTTCCCAGGCCCTTCCTGGCTTCCTGTGGGGACAGTGGGAAAGGGATGGTGCTGAGGGTGGGGTGGTCCACGGGGCCCTCTGCCGTCTCAAGCAGAGCTCAAGCATTTTGTAGGTACCACACAATTTCTTGCCATCCTGGGTGTAAACCTGGGGTTGGGCTTTTCTGCTGAATTCGGGCACTGGAATACCCACGTCACCCATTTTTGATAAATGAGTGTCTGGGGTATCAGATTGCTGGCTGTGTGCAGGGCTGAGTTAGCTGAATGCCACCTGCCTTTGGTACGTGAGAACGTTGTGTGAGAGCCATGACCTGCGTGCTTGCTTGTATCTGGTCAGCTTGCTACACGGACATCCCAAAGATCATTTACGCCTCCAGGACCCACTCGCAACTCACCCAGGTCATCAGCGAGCTTCGGAACACCTCCTACCGGTGGGTCAGGCGAGTTCACACCTGTCTCAGGGTCATCGAGAGAACCCAACTTGGCATGGTGCAGGGTACACAGCCCATGCTGTGTAGTGGTGGAGAGTGGTGGTCTTTGTAGACGCTCCCCAGGAGCGTGCAGTGTGCAGGGGTAGGCTGGAGCCTGGGCTGCCCCCAGTACCTGTGACTTGTAAGGAATTAGCTTTGCGCTTGTGTGCTGACCTAGGGGTGGTGTCCTGAGCTCCTTGCAGGCGGTGGGTGCTGTGGCCGTTGTGGGACAGGGCCAGACCGCAGTGCAGCTTTGCACATGGAGTGGGAGGAGGCCCTGCCGCTTGTCAGAGCCCAGCAGAGTCCGATGTTCTGTCCTGGTTCCTGTGGCAGGGCCAATGGCAGGGTGCTGTGGAAGCTGTCAAGTCTTGACCCTCTGTCCAGGCCCCCCACTGTCCTCTTGCTCCCTCCCACGCCTGGGCCATGTTGCAGTTATGCTCCTTTCCTCTGGCCGCTGAGGCGCTTTTGTGTCCTCATACAGCTCATGCTGTGGGGCCACGCTGGGGCTGTTAGAGGCAGCTCCTTCTCGACCCACGTGCCCTCTCCCACTGGACCTGAGATGTGTGTGCTGGGCTCCCACCACATGCCATCTCCCACCGGGCCCCGAGGTGTGTGTGCTGGGCTCCCACCACGTGCCCTCTCCCACCGGGCCCCGAGGTGTGTGTGCTGGGCTCCCACC